ACAAACCCGACACGTGCGATATTTACGACGGTCCCCCTATTTTTGATGAAGAACCTCCGGTGCCGGAGATACATATTGACGACACTTTGGGCTCCACGTGGGACCTCGTCACGATTGTCCCTTCGACAGAACACCCATCGTTTGGACCGGATTTTCAACATATTTTTGCAAAGGATGGTTTTTTGGACGCGCCTTCATGACTCAATAGCGGTTGGGACATTGTTGGATTGTTTGTTCCGAAGGCTTCCGGGATTTTGCATGAAGAAGTAGGCCCCTTTGCTTTTCCGACCGTTGTATACTTGCCCGAACTTGTGTTCGCCGGTGCGATTGGACGACCTTCAAGCTTCGTGTTCGATCGGGGAAAATCTGGCCTATTCCTGTCCTGGTGCCTTCTCCAACGGGACGAGTCGGATTCGAGGTCGAATCTTGTTCAATCAGGGGAGAATGATGAAGAATACATATGTTTAAAATTATTATTATTATTATTATTATTATTATTATTATTATTATTATTATTATTATTATTAGTTGCTTGGATATTAAGCTAGGGTTGAGTTTGAAGCCTTTATTTAAAGGGCTCTTCTGTTTTGGTGATGGGGAGTTGAATTTTGAGAATGAAAAATTGATCGTGTTCTTTCGGGAGAGTATCCCAAGTTCGAGAAAGTATCTCGTATTGTATCTTTTCTCTTTCGTTCATGCCTTCGCTACATCAGCGGGGCTCGGTCGTTTGCGTCGTTTGAGTCGGGGGTCTGGTGCTTCGCCGCTGCTTTCGGCCTTCTCCTCCTCCGTTGTACTCTGGTGTTGGTCAGGGAGGACAAGTTTCTCTGTTTTTCGGCCAGTGGTGTTGGACGGAGTGGAGTAGCGGTGGTGTGGAGGGTTGTCGGCGGCGTTCAGGGGGGTTGAGGGTCGGGGCTGTGGCCACGACTTGTTTTTTTGCTCTATTCCCCTGATTCTCTTGCGTTGAGTTTTCGGGGCGAGTCGAGTACTGTCAAAAGTGGTGTTAGAAGGTTCAGTCCAGTGGCGGTTCGGGGGCAATTCGGGTGTTGTGGTTGTGGTGAGTGTTGGCTTTGGTTGATGTCCTAGGGCTTGGATTACCTCCGCTAGGCAACCAAGTTGGTTTTTAGCAGTTTCGAGGTTGGTCCTCATTGGTTGCGGGACTCAATTTGGGTCGACCTGATCTGCTGGTTCTGTTTGGGCTGGTTTGCTTGGCAAGGGCTTGTTTTTAGTTAGTTTATTTTATTTTATTTTGTTTAGTTTGGTTTGTTTCTTTAGCTCTCGTGTTTTTGGTTTAGATCGTCGGCCTCTCTTAATATCTCTTTGGGATTGTTTTTTGTTTATTCTCATTTTGGGAGCTTTGTCGTAGTTTTTTAGTGTCTTGTTTCTGATTTCTAGCGTTGCTAATGTCGGCTCTAGGCGGTCTTATGTCCAGCCTCCCAGTTTATTCAGCTTTTTGGCTATACTTATTCAGCTAGGGGTTGTAACGTTTGCACATTTGTGCATTTTGATCTATATATATTTCTATCTGATATAGCCATATTACGGAATACCGGTTCAAGTACTGACTACTCGACCTAATAACGAATATGTGTGTCGACATCCCCAATTCGACACCAACAAGTCGACTCCCATAAAGTCGACTTCCCTCACAGACCACCTGAGGACCTCCTTCAGTAAGCTGACAATTCTAAGACGATATCCCTATGTCGACTCGAGAAGTCGACTGCCACCAAGGAGACAAGCGGGCAAGGAGCGACCTCCAAATAGTTGTGCAAAGTCGTAAGTCGACTTGATGATTCTCAGGGTCGATTCCATGCGCCTCAAGGCTTAAAATATTTCGACGATTCATAACAATTCAACAGGACAACATGATCTCCATATAAAGGTGAATCTTCATGAGATAAGAAGGAATCTGGATGCTTGACTAAGAGGCAAATAGAATGCGAACAGACCAGGGCATTTTCGACACTTCATGTAAGTCGGACGGGGTATTTTGGGTATCTCAAGTAGGTATTTCCTCTTATATGAAGGGGAGCTGAGGTAACCTAAAACCCTAACTTCACTCTCATTACTCACTTCCATATCTGCAGTTGCTGCTCTCAGCAGCTCTTCTCCCTCTTCTTTGTCACTTACTTGAATGTCGGAGGCTCTTCCCGGAAACACTTCTGGTGTTGAGTTTTTGCAGGAGTTCGCAGCGATCCAGAGGCGATTCAAACATATCAAAGCCCATTACTATCGGTTCACTCAAGACTTAGGAGGAGCCCCATCACTATCGTTTTGAAAAAAAATATAAAAAAAATAGATATACTAATAAAATGAAAAAAAAAAAAAATTATTGACTAGATCCGACACCAATACAAACACCAAATTACTTGAAAATAACAACTACCACGCGAGAAAATAACACGTTCATGTTAAATCGTCGTTCGTGCCACATATTGCAAGAGATGTTCTAGAATGTTTGCTGACTTCTCTCCGAACATCTATATCATTCAAGACAAATGAAATTATTTTAACATAAGTGTAACATAAAGGATGACCCAAATTAATGTGCATATTCAATAGTTCTTGATTTAAAAAGTGACGTGCTGTGTAAAGTGAAGGAAATTGAGTTTTCCAACTACTTGTTCAATTTTTCGTAATTGAAAGACTTGTTAAATTTTCAAAATTATTTTAAAGTGAATGATAATTCAATTCTAATTGTTATTTGTGAAAATGAATGAGTTTTAGTAGCCTAAAAGTTATTTAGAGTCTAAAATGAATAAGTGTGAATGAAGAAGAGGTATAAAGTCGCAAATAGTATAGTGCAAAAAATTGGTCCGGTCGACAACCCCAATAGTTGGGTTTGTCACGATCCAACAACGACCGTCATGACATGACGACCCCAAGAGCGTCGTCCAGTGTCTAAAGGGCGTGGCCAGGTTGCGACGCCAGCTACGGGCACAACCCTAATCGCACCTGTTGGCTACTAAGAGATTTCGGCTCGACCAATTTTGTCCTTTTGCATGAAGGCTCATTAGTAAAAGTGTCATTAGATCCTTAAACCTTATGGATGTATTTTTTTACATATTTAAATACCATCATGGTTGAATCATTCACTCACTTGCAATTTAAGTGCTCTTGCACTATATTATTCAGAACTCACATAACATATTGTGTTACATTTGAATTTGAATTCTAGATCTTCATTTTACTTGAATCATCTTCATGATATTCACATATACCATAGAAACAACAAAAAGTAACAAGAATCGTGCTATTTGATCTTATGTCATGTAGTATAATTCCAACCATTAACTTCTAAACTTAATTAAAAAAAATAAAAAAA